GCATTTCTGGCAACGCTCCGCTCAGCTCTTCCGGTCCACGGCACGCGAGCGGGCCGTTCCAATGGACGCTGCCGCCGCAACCGCGTGGCTCACGGCAGGGCTCGCCGAGAACGGCCCTCTGCAAGATATGTTCCGCGAGGCCGTTTCTCGGGCTCTGACCGCCGACTTGGCCTCTGACACAGGGGTCATCCGGCAGGCCTTGGACCCCGTCAAAGAGACCGCTGATTCCACTTCGGCAGAGTTGACCGTATTCCGCACCCAGATGGACACACAATTCCAGGCGCTGCAGAAGCGTGTCTAGGAGCTCGAGAAGATCGAGGTGCAGTTGGACGCCTCATTCCCCTGGAGGAAGACAGAGCGCGAGACGGATCCAACTGAGTGGGCTGCGGGGTGGATGCGCATTGGAGTCGACTCCGATTGGCTCAGCAACGCGGCCCAGAACACGCAGGACCCGTCTGTCGCCAACTCGACGGCGGCGATCATGGCCAACCCCAACCACCCAGACGCAGAGAGGCTGAAACAGGCGGTCGCGCTCAAGAACGCGCCCAAGCAGGGTTGGAAAAGCCTCTGCCTCGCCCCGTTCGGGGGCAGCCCGGAGCTTCTGCAGAATTTCCTGTCCACGAAGGCGAGTGATGGAGACAAGACGGCGTCTGCCATCGCCATGAAATGCCTCAGCTACTTCCTCATCATGGAAAAGCAGTTCACCAACATCAGTACTGCCAAGGCGAACTCTCCCGGCAAGATCAAAGCGCAGCGCCTGGAGATGATGCCAGCGATCTTTGCGGGCATCAAGTCCATGAAGAGAAGGGCGAAAAAGGCATCTGCCCGCAGGCCGCTGGAGATGGCTCTCATGCAGAGAGACTTCTGCCTCGACTGGCAGCTCAGCTTGACACACCTCGCGGCCACCCCGTTCGTGTTCACAACTGGGCCGGACCAGGTGAGCCAATTCCCGGCCAAGCGTCTCCGGACAGATTCAGGCCAGCCGGGGCCCTCCGGTCGTCCGGAGGCGTCTGGCGGCGGCGGGGCACCAGCCTCGGGCAACAACAGCCGGCCGCCCATGCCTCCAGCTCCGGTCCAAGTTCCGGCGCCGCAGCACGCGGGCCCGGCCGGCGGCTCTGGCAATGCCGACAAGAACGACAAGAAGGCAGTCGCTGCTGCCATCTTGCAGGACCTCAACAATATGGTCGGCCGCCAGCAGCCCGCGGCCATCCAGGCCTACGTGGACCAGAAATTCAGAGGCACGCCGGCGGAGGTGCAGGGCATCCGGAGCGTGCTGGGCAGTTTCTGCCGCCACTGCATCCTGAACAGCCGCCGGGTGGTCAAGCACTCGCGCGGGCAGTGCCGCGCGGAGGGGGGCAAGCCGAGCTCGCCGTGCTCGCGGTGCGGCGCGCGCGGGATCATGGCCTACTGCTGGCCTGAGGATTGCCCCAATGCGCGCTGAGCACACAGCTGTCCATGCCCTCCCCCCCTCGTCCTTCCCCGTGTTCGTTTCCCCCCTTCCGCCCCTCCCAGCACAGAGCCCTGCGCGCCACCAGTGCGTGCATTTTGGCACGTTTCAGTGCGACAGTCTGCCTTTGTGATTTTCGTGCATTTGAAATTTTGGACGCTTGCAGCACTCGCTCTTGCGGAGCCCCTGCTCAAAAATGCGGGAGGACAGGTTGGGTCCTTCGCCTGGCTCTCCTGTTGCCCCCCCCCCTGGGTGAATCCAGCCTCGGTGATCTTTCGGGTCCGACGCCCTAAAATATTGGCTCTGGTTCCCCAGGATTTGGGGTCCGACTCTCCTGGATTTTGGGTCTCATTCCCCAGGATTTGGGGTCCGACTGCCCAGGATTTTGGGTATGGTTTCCCATGATTTTGTGTCTGAACCCCCGACGACGTGGGTAAAGCGATAGTATGTCCGACCACAAGCGAACGGCAACCGAGCCGCCCTCTCCCCTGGGTTCCGAGCAGGCCCAGTTGGCCCCGACGGCCCCCTGTGGATCTGGAGGGGGGTCCGGTCGCTCCAGGAGCCCCCGGGGCGTCTCAAAAACGCGGCCGGTCATCAGAAAACGGGTCTGGTCGATACCGCACTCGTGAGTTTGAGTCGCGTCTCGCACGCGTGCGTCGTTGTCTGCACGGTTGCACGCGCACGGTCTGGCACTAGTCCGTTCCGTAGCCTTTTGGGCTCCGGAACCGCCAGGGACCCAACGCAATATGCATCTCATACATGCAGTCCCTGGGTCGCAACCGCCATGGGGGTTGCGTTTGGTCGAACAGCCCGCAGTGGCCCCGAGTGGGCTTTCGCCAGCCCCGCGGCCACCTGAATGCACCAGGGCGCCGGTATCTTCGACGACAAGCGCCTCTGCGGCGACCGGCGTGCGGTCCCGAGATTCCGCCATGGATCAATTGCGCTTTCAACCCGTCCAGGACGTGTTCGTTCAAACGCCGACATTGTCGTCCGCTGCATCGTCTCCTCGCGAGGATCTCTATGTCAAGGCCCAGGTCATTCTTGAGGCCGGTTGGGAACCTTCGACCAAGCAGACCTACGCGAACGCCATCAGGCTTCACGTGCACGGTCTGGAACGCATTGTCGACGCCACCTTCCTTATAAATTAATGTTGCTGTCCACTGGAATGGACGGAATGTTTTGGTCTAGCACTCAGCTTAACAAGGCTGCAATTCGTGCTTGGCATATGTGTCGGGGCCTCGACTGCGTGTTCGACTCCTGCTGGGACCAGCGCGCGTACCATTTCTGGAGGGGGCTCAAAAAGAGAGCGAGACACGACAGCCACCAAAAGAAAGCAATTTCTATTGACGAGCTTCTGTCTTTCATCCGAGCCCGCCTCGCCACAGGGTCTGCCGCGGGGGCCCGGGACTGCGCGTTTGCAGTCTTCTGTTTCTTCGGCATTCGGAGAGTATCAGAAGCCTCTGCTCTCCTGGCCGCAGACGTGAAATTTGAGTCCGAATGCGCCCGGTGCTTCATCCGGCGTCAGAAAAACGACCCGGAAGGCAGAGGGCAAACGTGCGTGATCCCAAATTGTGATTTCGCTGGAATCAACCCCGCCCGCCTCATGGTCGACTCTCAGGAGAGAGATGCCTCCGGAGCCGCCGGTTTTCTTCTGCACGACAACTGGCGCATCGCATAAGGCAGTGAATCCCGATTTATGGAGAGAAACAGTTTCTCTGTTTTTCAAGGACAAAGCAACGAGCACGCACTCATTCCGCAAAGGCGGCGCACAATGGAGCTTGCACGTGGCCAAAGCGCCGCCCAGAGCGGTGCAGGACCAAGGCGGCTGGCACTCCTCATCTGTGATGCACGACGCGTATGCCGCTGCGTCGCCGGAGCTGGCGCGGCAACAGTTCCTGGCCGCGGCGAGGGCCGTGGCGGGCGCTCCGCCGGCCGCGTCGCATGCCATCGTGGCCACGCAGGCCGCCCCGCCGACTGGTCCTGGCAAATCGCCAAGCGCAGTTCGGCCCTCGTCGCCACTGGAGGGGCCAAAGAAGTTCCGCCGGCGAGATTCCCCTATGAGGGCTCCTCGGCAGCGTCTGCCAGCGAACCAGGAGCGTTTCTTGGTACGGTAGCAAAGAGGTCCCCGCCTGGTTCCTTCCTTTCGTCTCGCGTTCCCACCCTTCCATTTTCGCACGCACACACGCTAAGCGGCCATTCTGGCCCTCGCTGCGCGACCCGCCCGCCGCCCACCTGGACCGGCAGCCTCAGCGCCATAGCTCGGGCCTGCGGCGGCCTGCGGCGGCCTGCGGCGGCCGTTCGGGACGAGTCGGGCAACCCCCAGAACGATCTCGACGAGGCGCAGCTGTGGGAAGCCACCCTGGGTTTCGAGAACCTCCGACATCCTCTGCAAGCCGGTCCTCCTCCCCCCGCGCAGAGTGCGGCGGATCGCCCTCTCCCACGGCAAGCGTGGCCGAAGGATGAGGAGGATGTTTGTGAAAAACCTCCAGGGACACACGAAAACGCACGAAAACCTGCGGGAACCGACGAAAACCGTCCGAAAACCTCAAACCTACAACCCTCGTCAAAAATAAACTGAGGGATTCTGTTTTCGGTGATTGTATGGTCGGCGCTACTCCGATGCTGGCGCTAGATATCTGACGCGGACGCAAGGGCTTCGAAAATCCGACGACCCCTCCGCAGCATTGTGGAGCGCAGTTTCTAACAAGTGCCCGAAAATCGATCGTCGTGATGTCCAACCGCGTTTCTGTCTATTTTTGACGAGGCTTGTAATAATTCCTGGGGGCCCGGGCTTCCCTGCCAGGCCTCGACGGCGGACGGCCGAGAGTGGCTCTCGGCGCCTCCTGCTGCCCCTCGAGGCGCGCGGGAGCTGCGGGAGGCCAGGCGCGGACCCAGCGGCCTCCGGGGCCCAGAGGGAAGTAGGGGCAGTTTCGAAGGATTGCAAAAAACCAAGGACTGCAAAAAACCGAAGGATTGCAAAAAACCAAGGATTGCAAAAAACCGAAGGATTGCAAGAAACCGAAGGATTGCAAAAAACCCTCGAGGGATTGCAGTCCTTCGAGGAGGAGGAGGAGGAGGATTTTTGCAATCCTCGAAAGGTTTTTTGCAATCCTTCGAGGAGGAGGAGGAGGATTTCGGAGGCGAGTCGATGGGGAGAAGTCGTCAAGACCTCAGACATCGTCGGCGGATGAGGATGATGTTTGCGGCTCCGGGGCGCTCCCTCCTCGCGGGCACGGCCGCCTCCGTGCCCTCTACCCGCGACAGCAGCTCCGCGTCCTGGGGGCGAACCGGCCAGGGGCGGCCCACCCTCTTGGCACAACTTTTTTACGACGTTGCGCAGGCACGGATCAGAGATCGTTGAGTTCTGGGTGTGCAGAGCAATACGGTACGCCGACTTGGGCAGAAAGCCACATAATTCAGCCTGGCGGGCGCAGCTCCTTGGCACCATTCCCCCCCCTCCTCCTCCTCCGTCCTCCTCCTCCACCGTATAGTCGCACCCCGAGGCCGGTCAAAAGGGCGGGCCGGGCGTGTCGAATGACACTTCGTCACCATTTACAACCCTGATGCTTTGAAATTGGCAGCAGTAGTTTCACAGATGGAGGGCGGGCCGCTTCCAAAATGTGGTTTTCGCCTTCGCGCCGCGCGTATTCGTTTTCAAGGTTTGCATAGATTTCACGCATTGATGGCGGGTCGTTTTCAAAATGTGGCTCTCACCGTAGCACCGCGCACATTCGTTGAAAAAACTTGCAACACGAGCTTCACGGATTGAAGGCGGCTCGTTTTCAAAATGTGGTTCTCGCCATAGCGCCGCGCAAACTCGTTTTAAACATCTGCAACAGTTTCATTGGTTGTCACTGTTAACTTTCCAAAAACGCTGTTTTGAAGCGATTCAGGATTGTCAGGGCGCAACAATTACGCTGATTCGCGATGTTGAAGTCCTACGAATGGTGTTCTGGCACGATTCTGGACCGCCAAAACGTAAATGTCAGGTCAATTCGCGGCGTTCGGGTCTTGAAAATGGCATTCGGCACGCTGCAAGATGTTCACACCGTTGTCCCACAATGGGGCATTTCCCTCACCGGGAACGAACCCTTGCAGGGGCCTGTGAAAATGAATCTTGGAGGACGGGTGTACTTCAACATCGTTAATGAGTCTTTGGTGTGCACTGGTCCTCCCGTTCCTCCTTTTCCTCCTTCTCCTCCTCCCCCTCCTCCTCCTCCTCCCCCTCCTCCTCCTCCTCCTCCTCCTCTTCCTCCTCCTCATTTTTTCCGCGAGGCCGACCTGAGCGCGACCGCCGTGGCGTTCGTGCGCAACCGTGAGAAAAAATGCAAGCATCCAGCGGGACGATTCGGCGCAAAGGAGGGGGCCTGGCGGGCGCCGCCGAAAAGGAACCATGTGAAGAATGTGAAGAAGCGGAGGAGACGAATGAAAAGAGCAAGGCGCCCGCCAAGGCCGCGAGGTCGGCACTGGCCTCAGTGATCAGTACCCCCAGTAGGTACCCCCCTTGGGGTACAGTCAAAAACCCTAATAAGGACGCGCGGTAAGGACGCAAGACACTTGGAAGCCGAAGTTGGGATTTTTGGGGCGGCGGACGACGACAACCCCAAGGACGCAAGAGCAAGGAAGAGCAAGGACGCAAGGGCACCCTGAGCAAAGCCGCGCGTCCTTACTAGGGTTTTTGACTGTAGGTACCCCCCGTGGGGTAGGCATCCCCCCTGATATCAAAGCGGCACCCGCCTCGGGAAGCAAGGGTAACAGTACCAGGTATGAGAGATAGGCACTGCCACAAACCCACGGCACCTGTGCACCTTGTAGAAGCAACCTGCAACAGAGGCACCACAGAGAGTAAGCAATAAGAACAACGGGGACCGAAGTAGGCACGAGCTGCTTCTGTCGAGTGCGTTTTGTGCAGCCAGAATGTTTACGCGGGCAGCTTGCTCACGTAGACGTCTGGGACATAAAGGAAGAGAGAGCCTGCGCACGCGGTAATGGCA